TAATATATCATCTATTGGGTGCACCCAGAAGTCTACACCGGGAATGTATCAGAACAGACATTCCGCGTCCCATGTCCCATTGGTCAAGAAGCCTTTTCAGTGGCTTTCCGAAAAGACGGTCTAAAGCGTTTAGGTCTAGCAGTGTTTCCGCCTGGCAGTTTCACTTGGGCCTGAAGGTCATTAAGGCTTCGACCTCCAAGTCAAAGAAATACAAAGGGAGATGGATGTTTTTTGACCAAGACACCACACAGTTGCGCCAACTGTGCAGTGCATACACACACATTTGCAAGTTTGCTGATAGAATTCTTCCTTCTCAGAGGACCAACGATGCCGCAGCCAGACCCAATGCCGCCCCTTGGTCAGAACTGGTAGGCCAATGCATCACAATGCAATGCAATGCATCATACAATGCAATATATCATACATTCCGTCCTTCCACTTGAACACCCGGCTCTCCTGACAATAAGGCCCCTGCAACTCTCTGCAACGTAGGAGTCCTGTAGACTGAACGACACCGGGTTTCCCACCGGGAGACCACCAGGTTCATGCACGACCAGTTTAGTTCCTGAAAGCCTCACCCCATGGCGTTCCATGACTGTTGGGAACATCTAGACAAGCTGTGACAAGTCACACGGTCTTTTCATATTGGTCTTTGTGAGATCGTAGGTTTGTTGAAGATCTGAAAGCCAACGCTTGGAGCTTTTTGGAAATTGGGAAAGACTGGAGCTGTTCCCGTGCGTGATTGCCATGTGCTGTTTCCAATGCTGTGAACAGTATCCCAATAAAGGGCGGCCAAGAATTGAAAGCCCATCAAGAGAACAATCCCGGCAAAGCCAGGGCGAAAGAAATAAAGATTCATTGTCCGATGGTGTGCACATCTATAATCTATGCCCCCACCAAAAACTAGCTCCTATGCCCTAATCAACAAAGTTCACATTAAGATTAGAATCTGTTTTCATGCCAGCTCTTGCAAAAACAGGAACCTTAGCCTGGCACCTGGCCCAGCCGTTCCTCAGCGTGCCTCACTCCATGGTTTTTGATCCAGCCGTGCGGGCCGTGCGCTCCAAGGTCTGGCTTCGAAGCCACACTGCTGCAGGTCCACCGACAGCAGCGGATGGCTTTGGAGCAGCTCGTCGGATGGCTTTGGAATCAAAGAGAAGCGGCTTCAGTCATATGAAAGCAATGTCAATTACTGTAGGTTACAGTATATCATATATAAATGATGCAGGATGTGCCTGTTTCTGACAAGTTCACCTCCCATCCTTCTGGCAGATTGCCAAATCAGGAGCTACCAGCTGCTCACAAAGCAACATGAAGTCTGGCAGAGGTCAGTGGAACAGCTCCTGACAAAAGACTCTTGGCACATTGGGACACGCATTGAGACATCCATGCAAATGACTCCAAAAACTGTTGCACAATTGAGATAACTCGTGCCTCTTTGTCCCATCAGCCAGTTTTTGGAGGTGATGTCAGCACGGCCGCATGGCTTGTGCTAATCTTGAAGTCCTGTGTTCCGTTCCACTAGTGAGGCAAAACGGGCTGGCCGCGGACACCATGCAACACCTCAGAATCCAGTCACAAGCCTTCAACCCAAGTGCTATCATCCGGATAGGACCCAAACCCTGGGATGGATGGTTTAGTGAGGATTGCATTACAACCATAGAGCTACCCCGTTTGGAAGAACGTCTCGTTCCGCGGGGCCCATCCGCCGAAAAACGTGCCGCGAGGCCCATGAGGTGCCACGATCACCCTTGCTGGTGGCGCCACCGCCCTGCAGCCTCTTCACTGCGGAGCCTTTTCAGTTTCTGGGAGACAAAAGGGCATAAGCCTAAGGGCGTGAGCAGTGGGGTATGTTTGCACTGGACAACACCATGCTCTTTTGGGAAGTGTGGAGAAGGATGGGAAACATCATATTTCTATGAAAGGGGTCACTATGCCAGGTCTCAATTATGTCGAATCCTGGCAGCAATTTGTAATCCTCTACTGACTGTAGCAGATACTCCTGGCCCAAAGCAAAGCCCATGAAACAGAATCTCAAAGTGGATCTCCACACCTTCTTTACTTACATAGCAATGGTTTGATTGCTTGGCTGATGTGCTGACAACTGTATCAACGAAATTAGTGAACTCTCCTTCTAACTCTTCTCATGCTTGGTAGATGCAAGATCTGTGTGAATCATGCTCATAGTCACAGCAAATTGGCATGCCAATGTTTTTGGTGTCTGGCTTGCATGAGCTGCTCCCGACAAAAGCTGCCCCTAAAGTAAGATTTGGCCCTCGGAAAGTTTTTGCTGTCCACGAGCGGATTAAGCACACTGATCCATGCTGAGATCTTCTCTCAAGCCACACCGTTTGATCATGAATCAATCACTAAACAGAAGCTGTAAGCTTGGAGACTTGTGGAACTCTTTCCGAAGGTCGTTTTTGCCTGATCAGTTTGGCCGTGGGCCGAAAACCTTCTGAAGGGAATCGCCACGAAAAGTTTGACATCGATGGCTGCCATAGGTTGCCGGAGGCGGAAACACCACCAGACAGTATGCCCTTGAGTCAGATGAGTCCTACAGGCACGATTCTCGCTTTGCACAATCTGACAAAGTTTTTCTTTAGTCCTGGCAGGGTGCTCTGAATTAGACGATCATGTATATAGAATCTCGTATCGCACTGCCAAAGTCACACATAAGCCTTCCATCAGCTCTGTCACAAAGCGGTTGATCTCAAGCTACAAGCCGACTGACAATCACAGTTCCAATGTAAAGTGGACTTTGATTGCACGGGACCGACTCAAGACATCGTGACATATTTTCCTGACCTAAAGCAAGTTTGAGCCACTTAACGCCACTTGTTTGGTGAAGTTGTGTGAAGTCAAGTTCGCCGAAAAAGACTCTTCTGTCTCATTGGGACATGGGCGACCTCGCCAGGGGCAGATAGGGCAGAAAGCAACCGTCCTGCATTGGCTTTGTCAAAGTCCACTGTGGAGCGCTTTCAGGGCCCAGACAAGACTTTGAGCTGCATGGGCCATGGAGATGGGCCAGAAGCGGATTGATGACTTTGAGTGCTGGCCATGTTTTTTTACTTTCTTTTTTGGGAGACAAGAAACAGGAAACAGGTCAAATATGTGAAAATAGATGCTAAGTAGCCATCTAGCAGATGCTAGGAGCAAAGAAAGCTACTATAATTGACTACATTGTGACTACATGCGATGCAGTGGAGCTCAGGTTTCTAGATATTGAGGCAATGAGGCCGGGCACACCGATATGTCCTTTTTCTCCTCAAACACCAAAAGCAAGCAACTCTAAAACATAGACTCTAGAAAACGTTAAACAAGTTTTTTGGACTCAGGCACAACTTCCCCAGAGTAGTAGCTGCGTGGGATTTGGGGTATTGGCCAAGTGGAATGGAAGGAGCCACCGATTGGTCAGCAAGTGTCCAGTTCAAATCCATGCATTCCTTGGCTTCCTCTCCTCAGGAAAGGGGGGCCACTAAAAAAGATTGTGGCAGAACTTCGTGAAGAGCAGGAAGCAAGAGAAAGGTGCAACTGCTGTGCTTGCAGCCGCTGCAGTGCTGACAAAATGTATCTAGAGAGTCTTCGAATGTGTTTCACCAGGAAGAAAGAAGAGAAAGGCTTTTGGAGGAAATTGCAACGCAATGTCAGTGAGCTGGTGCTGTCGCGCTGGCCGCTTGACCAGTTTTTCAGCATTTGACCGAAGAGACTTACGAAGTACTTTTATCACTCGTGATCACCCACTCATCATCTCAAACCACGGTGAAGCTACACATCCCTTTGCCATACTTTGCCCAGCCTGTGCGTCAACTGGGCGGTGACTAGTATTCCAATGTATTTCATGGTAACCAACTTCCCACCGGGGCCTAAGCGTTGTTTATGGAGGCAAACAATGGTAAACATATTGCCTGATCTCAGATGGGGAGGCCCAAGACTGTAGAACGATGTGCTCCAATTTGGGAAGACATAACAAACAAAGTAAAGAACACGTTGTACAATCGTCCACAATCCGGCACCATTCTAAAGCAGGCCCGTACAAACTGTCCACTAGGGGGAGCGAGGGCAAATCGACGAGAGTCGTGGCACCGAAATTCCGCAGAGACGACTGTGCGATCGAACGGGTCAGTCTCTTCAGCCGTCCGCGCTATCAAAGCCCAACAAGTGGTTACTTACATCTAAGTATAAAATTATGGTAAAGCGGTTGTGGTAAGCCCTCATGACTACTCGAAGTCTAGCCTGAAGACAGGAGGTATGGAGGTGTTTCCCACGGTCAAAAGTAACGTAGTGTTCGTTCGCAGATTCCAAGAGAGGTGGTCAGAGTCTAAGCTATTCCATGAATTGTCTCCACACGATCCAAAACCATAGATGGCCCATGATGGCCCTTTAGTATTGCTTGATTGATTGATAGAGGGGATACTCCAAGTCAGTGTACAACCAATTGGTATATATATATATGGTATTATGGTACCAAGCCGACTCCTCTTTCCTTTCCAAAAGGACATCACTGATCCGAACTCGGCAAAAACCTCTCATGCGTGGCGCATACGCGAAGGGACACGATCACATTGGCGAGGCACTTGCCTCTTGCCATGGCTCTGTCCGCACAGAGAGCGCTCTGTCCGCCCGTGACAGGCACGCAAAGGTCAGAGCCCGCCTCAAGCACCCAAGGCCAAGCCCAGCATTGACGGGAAAGCAAGTTGCCCCAGCATTGCTAGCTGTGTTGAAACTCCCTTCTCCGCTTCTGCAATGTCTAAACGTCCAACCGCTTCTGCCCGCTGTATGTGTTCAGGACGGTGTGGGTATAGGCAGGTTGATGTTGCACTAGTATTCAAGAACCAAGCTGGTCTTTGCATGAATGAACATCTCAGTGTGATATGTTACATGTGCCAAAACTTCTGAGCAATACATAGGGCGTTTAGAATGAGCATACAGATCCAAGAGAACCAACGGTGGGCTGTGGCATGCCGTGACAAATTGTGTGTGTATAGATACTGTTTGCACATAAATTTTAAACTGCGGCTGGGTGTATCTAATATATTCTAATATGCATATAAATATATGGTTGTCGATCTAAAGGTCCTAGACAGGATTGTTGATGACGATGACCCGGAACATATCAAACTCTCAATTGGCGAAAGTTTTTTCTCGAGTTGGCGAAAGTATGTTTTTTGGCGAAAGATATGGCTAAAGATGTTCTTTCTGCTGCTGTTGCTACTACTACGACTACTACTACTACT